GTGTTTCCCTGTTTCTCTCTCTCGCTCTCTCTCTCTCTCTCTCTCTCTCTCTCTCTCTCTCTCTTATTTTCTAAGCAGAGAAATGTTTCCTTAAAAGGCTCTCTCCTTCCCTCCGGCACCCTGGCCCCTGGCCACCCTCTCAGGAACCTGGAATGTGCCAGGGAGAGCCAAGGCCCCCTGCCACTCGGAGGCCTGTGCCCTGTGGCCCCACACTCCTGGTGTCAGCAGTGACCACTCCCCCTGCCCCGTGGGGACCCAAGCAAGGGTCCTCCCTCTGCAAAGGGGGTGACTCCAGGGGGTCTGCAGGGACTCTCGATGCCAGCCCTGCCACCCGCCCAGTCCCAGGGCTGGCAGCATAGCATTGCAGGGCTTGGACCCAGGAAGTCAGCCGCAGGTGAGCCTCCTCCAACGACCCACCTACACACTGCGGGCTGAGCGGGCCTGAGGCTCAGTCTTTCAACTCTGAAGAATCCAATAATAAAACAGCAGCACAGCCACTACTCCCATCACACTTGTGACAGGCCAGCCCTGTTCTTCACACTTTGCATAACTTAACTCTCCCAATTCTCACAGCAGCCCAGAGCATCCCATCCTGTGGATGAGGGGACTGCGGCACAGAGAGGTGAACAAGCTGTCCCACAAAGGAGCCCGGCTGCCAAGCCAGCGGTCTGGCTCCAGGGAGAGGCATGCCCTACCCTCTCTGCCCCCTGTGCTGACTCTCGGTAAACACTACTTTCCACGGAGCCATTCACAACGACAGCAGTGACAGCTTAAGGAGCGGGGCTCTGCGACAGCTACTGTCCTAAGCCCTTTCCTTGGACTCACTTGATCCTAATGAAGAATGTATGGGGTAGATACTGTTATTGCCCCATTTCACAGATGAAGAAACTAAGGCACAGAAAAGGGAACGATGTGCCCAAGGCCAGTGCGGCAGGGCAGTCTGGCTCCAGAGCCTGTGAGGGAGAGCTGGGGCTGCAGCCAGGAGGTGAGTGTTACCAGGCCCAGGCCAGGGCCGAGGCCTGGCATTCGTCAGCCCCCACCAGTATTTTCTGAACTTCCAAAGTCCCTGGGCACAAGGCCAACAACAAGGATGTGTTCTTGGAGCCCCACCTCCCCCACCCCAGGACATGAGGGTCTAAAGCGCCAGCCAGCAGCCAGCCCAGGCGGGGAGCTGCCTGCATGACCCGGCCCTGCTCTCCTCTCCACTATCATTCTGTACCCACCCTCCTTGTCCAGGACCCAAAGCCACACATAACGGTGAGCTCCTCTCAGTGCCTTGAACACCTAGCTCTGTTCTTCCTCCAGGCCTCTGTACATGCTCTTCCCTCTGCCTGAGATGCGCTTAGCCTAGCTGTGAGCATAGCTGGGTCCTTCCCATCCTTCTGGCTTTGGCTTCTATGTCACCTCCCCAGAGAGTCCCTCCCTGACTCCCTTAAGTTACATACACACACACACACACACACACACCCATATCTCTTCCTTTACAGACCTAATTACAATTCGCAATTACAGATGTGTTTGTTTCCTTGTCTATAATCTGTTTCCCCCTATAGAAAACAAGTGCCATGAGGCAGAGAACATGTCTTGTTCATCACACTAGTTCCAACACATAGTAGGTGCACACTAAATATCTGTGGAAAGATGAAAGAGACTCAAGGCCTGAGGAAGAAAGGCAAATTAACCACTGGTATTAAAATTCACTGCCATTTGTTAAGCACCTACTGCTAGTATGCACAGGGCAGGAAGCCTAATGCTGCCATATGTCTGATCTCTCTGAGATCCTCAGTCCCAGTCATTTTGCTCTCGTTATACAGATGAAGAAAAGGAGGCTCGAATGTCATGGCAGTTGCCCCTGGTCAGTCAGCTGGGAAGAGGGGAGCTGCAGGTGAAACTTTGGTCTGTGGGCTCCACGCGTTGCTCCTTGCAGAGTAAGAGGAAACCCAGGCACCGCCTAGCACTGCGCCTATAACCTCACTACTAGGTAAGTGGCAGGACCTGGTCTCCAATTGGCTGACACTCCACCTCAAACTACAGACTTCTAAACTTGCCATGCCCTACAGAGGGGCTCCCACACCTATGCCCACCCCCACCCAACCCCCTGGACTAGACAAGGCAGCCTTGTCCCCAGACAAAACTAGAATCCAGCTGAGTCTCTGAATCCAGCACTTTTTACAGTCCTGAATGGAAACGTTCTCCCCACCCCCCTCACTCTTGTTAGTCTTTTTTTTAAATTGTGGTAAGATATACATAACATAAAATTTACCATTTTAACCATTTCTAAGTGTGCAATTCAGTGGTGCAGTGCTATACAACCATCATCACTACTCAGCTCAGAATGTTTCCATCATGTCAAACAGACGCCCACATCCATTAAACAATAACGCCCCATCCTCCTCACCCCCTCTGGAACCCCTACTCTACTTTCTGTCCCTAGGAAGTTGCTTATTCTAGGTACCGCAGATAAGAGGAATCAGACGATATCTGCCTTTTGGTTTCTGGCTTATTTCACTTAGTGTTAAGGACTGATTATGTGCCCCCAAAAAATTCCTACCCCCCGTGCCTCTATGACTGTATTTAGAGATAGGGCCTTTATGGGGGTGATTACGTGGAAAGCAGTCTTGGCCGGAGTAGAAGGTGGCAGTTGCTAAACTGTTTGCACACTCCCTGTGCCGGCACTCATGTGTTACCCTTCACTCCTGAGCCCTGAGGTAGGCTGTTGTCTCCTCATCTTACAGGAGCTCAGCAGTACCCGCAACGTCCTGTGAGCTCCAACAGAGCAC